ATTGTTTTGTGAGTGGCCAACCAAGCTGACCTCATTCACCGCCATTAGGACAAAAGCAGCTAGGCCGGCACGGGGGAGTGAGGTAAGGGGTGGGGGCTTAGGGGTGCTCTCCCTCAGGCAGCTCTGGATCCCTCAGGAGAGGAGATCAGGTTGTATGGACTGGGCTGGGGTTTGGGCCCCGCAGGCTCGAGCCCCAAGCCGGGCTGGGCCTGCTGCAGACAGAGCCCAGCCTCAGACCCTCAGCTCTCAGGCGTACATGCCAGGAGGAGGAGTGTCTCCAAAGCATGAAATTCAATCCCCCAACCTGGAGGCCATCTTGTTGTCAAGTTCAAAGGCCTTGACGGGACAGGGATGCTCTTTATCCTGCCCAAGTTCGCACCGCGTTCGCCTGCACCCTTCTTACAGCCACTGCAGTTCAGGTCAACAAAAACCCCCGCGTTTAGTAAGTGCCAGGTACCATGTGAGTCGTTAACATCTTAGTCATAAAATGGCCCCACAGTAAAGGGTTTCTTCTAAAGCAGTAAGGCAAGCAAGTGCTCTCCCCACCCGACCCACGTGATCCTCACAGCCTGAGAGGAAGACGGAACAAGAGCTGTCATACCGCCTTAAAGACCAAGGAAACTGAGGCCCGAGCGGGTGGAGTGACTTGGTCAGTCCTGTACGACAAGGGACCCCAAACGCTGCATGCACACATGCCACTTGGTTATTATTATTAGTAGTTTTTTGCTTTTTTGCTTTTTTTGAAGGAAAACAGCTCTCCACATCTCTCCACACTCGTACACACACAGGCTTATTTGATAGGTAAGAACAGTTCCCAGGAAAAACAGAGCCTCATTGAAATCTGGGTCCCAGACCAGCCTGGAGCTAGCCAGCTTTGGAGATCCCCTCCCCCGCAGGCAGCTTTGGTCATCTGAGGCAGCCACCCTTCCGTGCCAGGTGCATCCTGACCACCCCCTCAAAACTGGGCTGGGAAGAATCAACCAGACCTCCGGTGTGAAATCGCAGACACGGGCTCCCGCTGGGCCCGTCGGAGTCCTAGAAACAGAGTCGCCTCGCCTGAGCCGAGGGGTCACCGGCCCTCAGTGTCCACCGCCCTTTCTGCTGGGGTGCCAACACCTTGCAACCGGGGGCTCCGCGGCTAAGGAACCAGGGTGGCTCAGAGCCCCACCTGAGCCTTCCCCCCGCTTGGAGCCCTCTGTGCGCCCTACGCTCATTCTCCATATAAAAGGCCAAGCAACTGACCCAAACGGCCTGGAAAATTCTCCAAGTCCCTCGTGAGCAACAATCGCTGATGACCTGCTCCCTGGGGAGGGGTGGCCAGGGTCCTGGGCCTGGACATCACCTTTCTGGAGGGGCGAATGTACAGCAATCAGATGGAGTTAATGCTTCTCAGAAAACGGAAGGACAGGTGGGTGCTGTGCCACGGGAGAGAAGACACGAAGATGGGACAACGAAGATGGGACAACGAAGAGGGACCGAGAAGAGGGTTGTTTGGGAAATGGTTCTGCGGAAGGTGATAATAGCAAGGAACGGCCCCATAGGGCTTCCCTTTCCAGCAAGATCTTTCCACAGCTAGATCTGCTGAGCACCTGCCTCCCGCAGCTTACGCAGGATACCCCAG